AAAATTTAAAAGACCGTTGCCTAACTTAGGTTATTTCTTTAGTGTTCATCCGATTCAGCCTATAGATCAAGTCAAATTTCTTCCATTTGATTATAAGAAAGTTTCTTTTAAAAAAAATGATTCATTAAGAACTTGTACTTACAATTTGTACGAAAGTAAACTTTATTGCTCAGTTTGTTTAGCGTTTGCTACTAAAAATAATTCATTCACTATTGGTTTAAATCAGGGGTCGGCAACCTTTTTACCTACATGGGTCATCATTTTTTTCAGTTTTTCATTGAGGGCCGCATATAAAATTAAAATACTAAAAAATATAACTTTAACATATAATACTAATATATCAACGGATAGCAACAATCATATTATGAGTTTAATATTGCGGTTGTCCTAATTTACTAATTTTTAATTACATACATTAGTAGAAAAAAATTAAAAGTTTAAAAGTAATTATTAATTAATTCTTGAGTGCAAAAGTATATAAATATATATTTAATATTATCTTGTGTGGTTTAAAAAACCTAAAAGGTTGAATTTTTTCCGCCAATTCGTTTATATCCACTTTTATATTGAATGTTGATAATCTTAAAACTGCATTCAAGTGTTCGATGCTTAATCGTGAACAATATTTATTTTTTAAGAACCCACTTTTCATTTGATAATTCTGGTACATTTTTACCCTTTTCTGACATAAAAATATATATTTAAGTTCGTAAAATAAAAAATCGTTTCAAAAACACACCTCTGTTCAACCACCTTACTTCGGAAAAATATATTACATCACCATATTCAGCATTGCATTCTTCTAAAAACGTTTAAAATTGACGATGTGCCAATTCATTTTTAAGTATGTAGTTAATTTTCGATACTCATATCGCTTCCGACTGTAGTTCACAACGCACGCGTTTTAAATGCTTTCAGTTTTTTTTTTTTTTGCCCTAAAACACCTCACATTGTTGTGTTTAGTATTAAAAAAGACAGGGAACGGACTTGGGCATTTCTTCCTTCAACACATCAAATTTACTTCAACCGTTCCGGCCAAATATGCAAAAGTTTGGTAATTATAATTAATTAATTATATAATCGTTAACTCCTATCTCAGTTTTGTGCTCCTTGGCCATTAGCCGGTTGTGGTCTTCTATTGAAATTACATGTGCGATAAGCGCACAATCTACGAAAAATGAATAAAACTCTGAATACAAAAAAAAATATTACAAAAACCAATTCATCTTCTTCTAATTGCACACAAGGTGACTTAAACGATGCAAACTTCGAAAACTTGTCTGAAAACTCCTATAATGATTTCGTTTTACAGCGGAATAAAAATACGAATAAGTGTAATATTTCAACTGGAGAATCTCTCAAAACAAAAAAAATAATATTAAACCTCTATTCGCAACTACAAATAGATTTGCATGTTTTACTGTTGACGATGATGCAGTAGACATTACACTTGAGTACGAACTATCCGACTAAATTCCTGTCAATGGTGAGGTCAAAACTCCATCACCACCACCAATAATAGTCAACGGCACAAATGATTTTGTACGTTTTCGATCAAATTTATTCGAATTAATTGGTACAGAAAATTTCCTATTCAAATCCTCCTCAAATAGTTTAAAAATTACAACGAAAAACTCCGATTTGTATAGAGTTAAAATTTGTATAAAATTATTGAATGACGAAGGTGCTGAATATCACACCTAGCAACAGCGCGAAAACAAAGCGTTTCGTATAGTAATTCAAAATCTCCACCCTTCTACTCCAACAAATGAAATTGGAATCACAATTCAAGAACTAGGTTTCACGATTCGACAAGTATTAAACGTCTGACATCAAATCACTAAACTTGCTCTACCGATATTCTTTGTAGATCTTGAACCTGCCCAGATAAATAAAGATATATTTCATATAACATCTATTCTCCACACCAAGATTAAGATTGAAGAGCCACACAAACGTCGTAAAATAATACAATGTTTAAATTGTCGAAAATATGGCCATTCAAAAAGCTATGTTTCACACTTACCTCGCTATGTTCGCTGTACTGCATTCCGCCGTCCTCCTTGTGTATCAAAACTAACGATCAACCTCCAACGTGCGCTCTCTGTGGCAGAAATACCCGGCAAATTACCGCGGATGTACTGTCCACAAAGATCTACAAAAATTCCATAGCGGCTCAAAAACCAGGTTTAAAAATTATGTGAACCCAACTATCTCTGTAAATGGGGAAAAAGCTTCGGTTGATAAAATACCCTCAGATCCGCCGAATTTTAATCTCAATGACATCAAAACATTCCCAAACTTCCTCATAATCATACTCAAAACACAATGCCAAATAAAAACCAGCATAAACTCGACTCATTCCCAAAAAATAAATTGACATCTCAAATTTCATCCTTTATAACAGAACTAAAATCAATAATTAATCCTCTAATTCAACTTCTCACAACTGCCATAAACCAATTGATTCTAAAAAATGACAAATAGACAAACAAACATAAATTCTCTCAACATATTCCTTTTGGAATGCAAATGGGCTTAAACAACATGAACCCGAATTATTAAACTTTTTTATTGAAAAACATATCGACATCACTTCAAGTTCCGAAACACACTGTACCCCAATCTCCAAAAATGTCTTTCCTAGATACAGAATATACAGAACTGATCATCCCAACGGTACTGCTCATGGCGGATTTGCTATTATAATTTCTTCAAAAATACAATGTCAACCCTTACCTAATCTCCAGACAAACACCATTCAAGCCACANACGAACCAAAAAATATACATTCATTTCCCTACTAGGTCCAACATACTGGCCAGCACATCGAAACAGGAGTCATATATATTAGATTTATTCTTATCCACAATTCCCAGACATATAAACTTTACTATAGTTTAAAATACTTGGATGACTCTGCATGTGATCACAGTCCAGTTCTTTTACAAATACACGGTCAAATATCTCTAAATCCTCTACGACCTTTCCTAGCAAAAGGGCCAGTCAACTGGTACCTATTTTCCGAAAACATAGAAAACTCAAGAAAAATGAAAATCTTACTGAAAACTACTGACCAAATAGAGGAGGCAGTCTAAAACCTCACAACTTCAATTCAAACCGCTATCTATAACTCGTCATTCAAAATAAATAAACCGGCGGATAATCCAGTAACTGAAAATTCCCTTCCCTATCGCATACAAAAATTAATAAAAACTAAGCGCAGAGCTCGGTCACGCTGGCAACGCCACAATTTTTCTCCTGACATACGTTTGTTAAATAATTTAACCAACCTAATAAAAAAACAGATACAAAAACATAAATCAAACTTTTTCTAAGAAAAATATCAATCACTTAACACTGAAGACGGCTCCTTATGAAGAACCACAAAAGACATTCTCAAAATCAAGGAACAATCTACCCCTCTGTACGGACCAAATGGCCAATTAGTGATCTCTGATAAAGAAAAAGCTGTCTTTTTTGGAGGCCACCTTTCGGAAACGTTTACTCCCCACCCAAACATAAATCCCGAACCCGAGCACTTAGATGTAGTTACAACCTTTCTCAACTCCCCCTTGCTTATGTCCCTCAATGCAAAGCATACAACTCCAAATGAACTAAAATATATAATAAATAAATTTAAAATAGGGAAATCTCCTAGATATGATTTAATTACTAACAAAATACTCCAACAATTGCCAAAAAATACACTAATACTCCTTACATTTATCTATAACTCGATGCTAAGGCTCTCCTATTTTCCTTTATCATGGAAATTGTCTACAATATTCCTTATATATAAACCACAAAAAACCAGATATCTAACATCTTCATATCGGCCCATAAGTCTACTTCCTACTTTGGCAAAGCTATTTGAAAAAATTATCCTTAAAAGAATAAGGCCAATAATGAGTTCCTTAAATATTATATTTCACTCACAATTTGGTTTCAGATCTCAACGGTACACCAAATCTACAGAATCATGGACAAAATAGCAACCGCTTTCGAAAATAAAAATTAGTGCCCTGATGTTTTCCTTGATTTTTCCCAGGCTTTCGACCAAGTGTGGCATGACGGTCTTCTTTAGAAATTAAAACTTTTCCTTCCTGTACCCTACTATTTATTAANACACCAAATCTACAGAATCATGGACAAAATAGCAACCGCTTTCGAAAATAAAAATTAGTGCCCTGATGTTTTCCTTGATTTTGCCCAGGCTTTCGACCGAGTGTGGCATGACGGTCTTCTTTATAAATTAAAACTTTTCCTTCCTGTACCCTACTATTTATTAATTCGTTCTTATTCCGATGCGGTAGATGACTTTTCGAATACATGGCAGGTGTAGTTCTTCTTCTTCTTCTTTTAATTTCATCTTTAGTTATATCTTTCTATTGAGAAATCCAACTTGATAAACTCGAAGTAGATATAAAAATCTCTACCGCGTA